TAAAAAGTTGAACTCATAGAAGCAGAGAGTAGAATGGTGGTTACCAGGGGTTTGGGGTGAGGGGGTGTGTTGGGGAGATATCGGCTAAAGGATACAAAATTTCATTTAAACAGGAGGAATAAGTTCAGGAGAGCTATCATACTAAGAGGTGACTATAGTTACTAACAATGTATTGTATTCTTGAAAATTGCTAAGAGAATAGATTTTAAGTGTTATTCTCAGCATACACACAAAAAAGTATGTGAGGTAACATGTGTTAATTAGTTTGATTTAGGCATTCCACAATGTATACATTTTTCAAAACAACGTGTTGTACATGATAAATATATACAATTTTTATTTGTCAATTAAAAAATAAACTAATTTAAGGCTCCATCATGGAAGCCTGGTTTTTATATCAGAACTATTAGATTCGTTGTGTCCCCTGTATCACTAATGTTGTGTTCACTTCTAGGCTGCAACAAATATGTATATATATATGTATTTTTTTTCCAAAAATGAAGATAGCCTTATTGAAAAATAAAATTTAGGGCTGGCCAGTTAGCTCACTTGGTTAGAGTTTGATGCTGCTGACACCAGATCAAGGGCTTGGATCCCCATACCAGCCAGCCACCAAAAAAAAAAAAAGTGTGTATATATATATATATACATGTGTACACTTTTTATATATATGTATGTATAATCCAGAAAGGAGCAAAAAAGAAAACCAAAGCCCTTAGTTCTATAGAATGGTTCCAGAGCAAGAATTCTTATAGGGTCCATGAATGGACTTTAAGGGCCTACGAACTGCAGAAAATTATTTGCAAAATGTTGTACAGACATGTATTTTTAGTTTTCAATACTTCTCCAAGGGATCTGCGACCCAAGAATGATTAAAAACCACTGATGACAGAAATCAGAAAACCCAATAGTCTTTTACATAATTGCAGAAAGCCTTTAGGCTTTGGAGGAATTATTTGTGTTGTTCCACAAGGTGTAGAAGTGGGGAGATTGAGTGGAGACACTGTAAGTGGATTTGAAACAACCTGGCTATCCAGAAGTTAAAGGACTGCCTTGTGAGGTGGTGTTACAGGGGTAGTTATGATGAACACCTCGTGGAGATGCTGTTCAAGTCCTAGACTGACAGGGACGTTAGCTGAGAGGACCTCTGAGGTCCTGGTATTCTCTAATTCTCTGATTAAGGCCATTTAAAGGAACAGACTGAGCTACTTGAGGAAAATCAGAAGAAAACAAGGTTTAGGGCTCCAGAAATTAATGTCAGAAATCCGAGATTGGTGTCGTTGTTTCTGATGCAGCAGAGATATTGAGGTGGTTGAATCTCAGTCCAAAGGAAGCCATTAGAAACTTCAGGAAGAGTCAGTTGGGTTGCGCTTGGAAAAACTTGGATTGGAAACCATTGAGAGTATGACTGTAATTACGGAGCAGGACAGGGAAACAGGACTCTCTTATTGCTTAAAAGTTAATTTTCTGCCTGAAAATACTGAAGTTATGAATCACACCTTTATCTGAACCTGCGATTTCTACAAGTTTGTGTTACTAGCCCAGTTCTTGGACCATCAATCCAGCTCATCAGCCGAGTGCTTTGAGAAGGCGAACCAAGCAGCTCTCCATTTTCAAAAGGCTTCTGTAATGTAAATAGGAACGGCAATCTTTCCAAGTTATTACCCTGTTAACAGGTTGACAGATATGTGCAAATTGTGACTCACTGCTCAATTTGGCACTAAATTAATGTCTTTCCTCGCCGCGTCTGCTCAAGTGTAAACTAGTCACCACTGCTGTGTTACTGCTTGTTTGCCTATATTCCAAAGGTAAAAATTAAAGTAATTTGATTCTGCCACAGAACGGAGTATGACATATGGTAGAAGTGTAGGAGGAGCACATGCTGTTCCTACCTGTCCTTAGCCCTGCACATGAAGCGGGGAGCCACGCGTGCAGGGCTCTGTGCAGACACTAGCAGTGTGCGCTGTCTTGAGAGAAGTACTGCCAGAGACCACCTTCCCTACCGACACCGCCCTCAGCAGAAAGAGTCATTTTTGTCTCCAGATTTTTAATTTGACGTTCCAAGCTTTCCTTATCTCTGTGAAGTCACTAGCGGTTGATTTGTGTTTTGGAGGTTGGGTCTATTTGAAAATGAAGTGTTTTGATTTTTGCTTCTAGAATTTAGACATTGTTTTCCTCAGCTAAAGATGCATATGACTTTCTCTTTTTGGCAAATACATAATGTCACCTGTAAAAAAGAAATTTGCATCTCCTTTATGTTAGGCATGTGAATGAAAAATAGTCTCTTTAAAAATTTGCTTTTGCTTTTGCTTAATAAAATCTTTGAATTGAGTTTGCTCAACTTTATCTAAGATCACCAGTTGGCAAAGAAACAACCAAAAAAACCCACCCCAGACCTCTCTACTTTCCTATGCCAACTGCAGGTATTTTTCGTAGGAACTGTTTTTTTCTGCTACTGCCTTCCCTTAGAAGTAAAGATCTCAGACATAAAGGAATCCAGAAGTGGCAAGGAACCTTTGTTGTTTGTCCGTTTAGAACTCTGGCCCTTACTAAAAGCAAGCAAAGCCAGGAAATTGGCATGACATTCTGGAAACTGAGCTTGGTTTCTGGCTTTTTTCGTAACCTGGGAAGATCACTTAACCTACCCGTTTCCCTGTTTTCCAGAACATATTTTGAAGCCTTCAAGGTGAAAGGTACAAGGGAAAGCAAATTATAATGTTACCTTTATACTGAAGTTCTGCATATTCATTTGCTTTCTGCTGTCCAGAGCTATGATGGCTATTGATTGAGGATCAGTTTGGAAGACATTGCCTACCCCGCTTCCCATTAACATATACTTAGCAATGACCTCCATTCGCACAGGACAGTGGATTTTTGCTTCCTGCTGAGTCTGAAGAAACTGGGTTTAAACCACACATGTGGATTTAGAAAAGAACTGTGTAAATGCAGAAATGTTTCCACTGACCTGGTATAAACTTTCACCATGAGATTCTTGCCATGTGTCTTTTGCCATTTCAAGAATCATCAGCAGTTATGAAAAATGAGTTAATTTTCTCCTTTCTTCATCTTTTCACCTCCTGCAGTATTTAAGCCTAGATCCAAGATTTTATGTCATGGAGCTGTAAATCTAGAAGGGGACCAGAGGGGAGGTCATGTGTGGTGCCTTGGCCAGACTGTTTCTTAGCCACCCAGGAAAGATTGTTTTCTAAACCACTAAAAAATCAACAGAATGGTGCCTTACCTTTAAGAAATGCCTTTTGTTCCTTCTAAGCAAGTTTGCCTTTTGATGCCGCGTCCTCATGTTGTAGTTCTTCTAGCGGTGGAAGACAGCTGTTACTGAGCTCAGAAAAGCAGTTTGTGTACTTGAAGAATATCAAAGTCTCCCTCCAGCCTGCTTCTCCCCAGGAGCAAATGCCCTTCAACGCACCTCCACCTCCTCTTGCACTTCTCTGCTGCAGTCTTCTCGTTGTCCTCACTGTTTACCCCTGGGCCTTCTGTAGTTTTTCTCTTTCCTTTTTCAACTCCAAGTTTAAAACTATACATAGCGTTCTCTAAGGAAAACCTGACAGGTTAATTCTTTCACAGCTGATATGTTCACTTTTTAACAAATGGCATTATGTTGTCTGCTATCTCTCATGAGCCCCAAGTTTCGAACTAAAATCTTTTCATGTTGTGAATGGAAAGCTAATCTCTCTGTTCCCCCAAGAGAATATACCTTTTATATGTCCCTGATTTAATGGATATGTAATTTAATTTGTCATTTCCAATGGATATGAAATCCAATGCAAGATCCTTAATAGATAGTTTTGCATCTCAGCTATTATATTAAGCATCCCCTTTGTGTGCAGTGTGATTGGATGATGAGCACAAATACTTGTTTGATTTTATTCTCAAAGGACCCAGGCCAGACCCAGCTCTGTTTGTGCTGTGGGCTAACACCCTGACAGGGAGCCTCCACTGCAGGGGAGAATTCATTCCTCTAAGGGAGGACATTTTTGCAGAACAGGCTGTAGTGTATGTGGTAGAACTACCAACAGGAGCACTTATAGTTTTCGAGGACCTGTTATGTGCCAAACACCATGCTAAGTGCTTGATGTCAATGATCTCGATGATTATTAAACCTTAAGAGATACAGTTTCTGTTTAGACCAGAAGAGAGGACTCCCTTTTGGAAGGATATCTCCAAGAAAAATATGGAACTGACAACTTGCCTAATATGTTTGACTGTAGCAAGAGAAGTTTTAGAGTCAGGTAGAGAGTTTAGAAATAAAATTGTAATAGGTACATAGAAAACTAGTCCAATGAAAATCAAGCAAAACAGAAATCCAGGAAAACAGAAAGCCCTATAAGTAAGTAAATGTACCCAGGAGCCACTATATGGCTCAGCTATTAAAAATATATGCAGAGATTTTAGAATGTAAACAATACTGATTTAAGCAAAAATTGTGATACAATTTGAATTGAGTCCAACCAAGAAAACAGAAATGACTTCAGGTATTTAAAACAGAAAGAATTTAATCCAGGGAACCAGTTATTCATGTTATTGAGATGAGAAGCCCCACAAGAGAATGTGGCGGCCCAGAGGTGAGCAACACAAAAGCCATGCCCATCCTACACCAGAAGGGCAGAGGGAGAGGCTGTGTGGTTGGAGCCCAGGGGCCAGGAATGTGACAGAGCTGAATTCTGATCTCCTATAGAAGAAAGTTAATAAGTCAATCCTTAAAATGAAAAATTAGGAACTAGCATTAAAAACACATTATTTAGAAATACAGAGGTAAATACCAAAAGAAATCACTAAAATATGGTCAGTTCTTAAGACAAGAGGAGGAACAGGGGAGTAGCATTTTTCATAAAAAGCCTTATAATTCTATTCACCTTCTTAAAAATGTATTACATTGATACAGAATTAAATTTAAAACCAAAGTCTTTAGTACACCGTAGACCTGTAGTTCTAATACTAGTGCTCTAGTTCATATGTGTGTATTTCTTTTTCCCACTCAGATATGTTGATGACGTGATCAGCCGCATTGACAGGATGTTTCCTGAAATGTCCATCCACTTATCCAGACCCAATGGAACATCAGCAATGCTTCTGGTAAGCTCTACTTGAATTGTTTGTAGGGATGTGTGGAAGAAAAATTGACTTCAGAATTAACTCTCTGGTCCCGTGCTGTAGGATCTACAGAATGGAGATTAAATCCTAGTTTGATGGTGAACAGCTTGTCTTCTTCATTGGCATTCTGGAACTTAAACATTTTGCACATGCTTTTTAACAAAATTGCAGACCCCTTGTAAGAGTTAACCCTAGAGAAATGATACTGTAAGATCAGTTCATGGTGCAAACCCCCCAAACAGTGTTTTGGTGAATGTCTGTTTTATGTTTTCCCAGGAGGTACATTAGACAGTAGTCATGTTCAATTACTAGATCCTGCTTTAAAAAACAAACAAAAAAACCCCACACTGTCTTAAAACAGAACTAGGTTCTGTGGAAATCATCTATAAAATCCATATGTATTGAAGAAAGTATTCCGAGACCTCCTCACCAATGCCTTCTGGTTTTGTTGTTTCTGATTTTGGTTTGTTCTGAGCAAGCTGACCTCATAATCTCATCACTGATGTTCGTGTTTGCATGAATTCACCAAAGACAGGTGTGTTTTGTAAATATGGTAGAATAGAAATGCTAAATTATATTATTAATTAGAAAGGCCTCAGTGATGAGAAGCTTTTCTAATGGTCTGAACATTTGCCTGAACACGGATTTTGATGAACCACTATGTTTCATAGAAAGCAGAGTGTATTGAATAAGAGTGGTGGTTTTTGACAGGCATCAGGGAGGTGAGGTTCGGAACAGAGTGCTTCTTATATCTAGTCAATTGCTGCTGCTTTGGGGCCTAGTGTGGACTTCCATATTTTAGCATTTTACTTGTTTAAAGCCTTATAAATAAGTAGCCAGTCACCCAGGACGAGTGACTGTTCACTCAAGCCATTCATCTTGGGAGAGCAGGCTTACTGTGTGTGCATGTGTATTTTTTTCTTAAGAAAGGCAAAGATGTAGCCTTGTTAACTGTGTGATATTTTGTTTGTGAGAAAAAAATTGGTGACATTCATATGGGTAACATGCTACTTTTATTTAAAATTCTTCCAGTTAAGGGCCGGCCCGGTGGCGCACTGCTACAGTGCGCCACTTGGGAGCGCGGTGGCGCTCCCGCCGAGGGTTCGGATCCCACGTACAGACCGGTTCCCGCTCACTGGCTGAGCGAGGTGCGGGCGCAACACCGAGGGTTGCGATCCCGTTGCCGGTCCCGGTCCGGTACGGACGTGACACTGAGGGTTGCGAACCGTTGCCGGTCACGAAAAAAGACAAAAAGGGAAAAAAAATAAAAATTCTTCCAGTTAAGGGCCGGCCCGGTGGCGCCCTGCTACAGTGCGCCACTTGGGAGCGCGGTGGCGCTCCCGCCGAGGGTTCGGATCCCACGTACAGACCGGTTCCCGCTCACTGGCTGAGCGAGGTGCGGGCGCAACACCGAGGGTTGCGATCCCGTTGCCGGTCCCGGTCCGGTACGGACGTGACACTGAGGGTTGCGAACCGTTGCCGGTCACGAAAAAAGACAAAAAGGGAAAAAAAAAAAAAAAATTCTTCCAGTTAAAATATAAAGAGAGTGGGATAATAAAATATTATTCTAATTGAAAAAGAAAACAATTTTCTTCATATAAAACATGAAATACTTTCTGCCTCAGTTAAATATACAGATTGTTTAAATTTTAAGATCCTTCACACCCAGCAGCCAAAACATAAATCCTGCTTTCAGCATACTTGACAGAGACCAAAGAGTTAATGAAGACAAAAAGAAATCATCCTCAGTGGAACAGGTTTGTTCAAATTATTTCTGGGTCATTGAGCTTCCATTTCGTGATGAAGGTAGGAATTTGGCATTGAAGGGAATGAGCAGAGCGACCAGGATTCCAGGCAAACAGGCCTAAGATATTAGAGTTACTTCCACCCGAGAAAGCAGGCTTTCATTTCACAATGACCTGTCAGCTTCATGTCCTTTCTTCTGGGACTCCTAATAGACTGATGAGAGAGTTTAGGGGCCCAATTCAAGGGAAGAATCCCATCTCACATATACCATTTTTACCCCTGTGAATGGCTAATTCAGATCTACGTGTGTCTAGCCAGCTAGCTGTTACCTTTCTTTGGTGACACAGGAATTCACAGAAGGTGGTGGATGTTTATAGGAATAGTGGTGGGTGATCCGAGTCAGAATCCAATTGCTGGGTGGATTAATCACAGTTTTAACGTAATTGCTTCATTTGGCTTTTATTCTTAAAAGATGGTGTTTTATTAGATTGCAAATCTCCAGACCCTTTGTAGCTGTCATACCCATCTCCTCTGAGGGTGAAGGGAATTCTCACTTGGGAGGGGAAACAGGACCAACAGCTGCCATCTGTCCTGACACCTTTACTAGTCATCTGCTCCCTAGACTTTGGTGGAAAAGGTTCATGACCTGTATTGTAGGCCGTAGGGTACCACAGCAGGATGGTAGGCAAGAGTGGAAAGTGTTTTCTGGAGATTAATCTGGGATAAACTGTATTCATCTGGGTTGCAGTGCATTCTGGAAGGCTTTGGGAGGTGAGTGAGGCTGATGGGGTGGCTGCTTGGAGTAGGACATACTTGAGTAGTCTCTGCTGCCATCTCTTTTACCTCCCTTGGCCAGAGCCTGAACTGTGCCTGTACTTTTTAAATAAAATGGCATTTCTCCTGAATCAGCTAGGCTTCCTTGAATGCAGTCAACAGAAACCTGCTCTGATTAAGTTAAACAAGGGAAGAGTTGGTTTCTGGTTTTGTTTTGCTGTTTAATGATGCTAGATGCTCACAGACTCAAAGATGGAGCTGACCTGCCAGGAGGGACAATAACCAGGGTAGCTCCGGGCATGTCCGCAGCAAGAACAGCACAGTGTCCTTTTGGGGCCCCGTGGTCTAAACGATTGGGCATCAGCTGCTTTCCTTCCATGTTGGTCAGCCTGGGAGGAACACTTGTGCCAGCCTAGCCAAGTTGTCTTCCCCCAGTGGTCGGGGGGAGGTCTGGCCTTGGCAGCCCCGCAGAACTGTGTGGAGTGGAGGGGAAGCAATTTCCCAGAGGAAGGGGGCAGGGTTGAGAAAGCAGCAGTGTGCCTGATGAAATGGACCACCAGTGTGGCTTACAAGCACTCATCTCATTTGATCCTTCCAGTGGCCCTCGCTGTAGCACCACCAGTTGTATTCATTTAACAAGTAGAAAAGTGAATCAGTCATTTCTTCCACTCCAACGGCTGGGATTCCTCTCCCCGCCTCTGGCCTGAAGCCTCCAGGATGCTGTCCTCCTCCCATCTCTGAGGGTAGCTCCTGCTAGTGGCAAGTATAATTTGGACTGCCAGGGACCAGGCTCGTAATTTTTTCTTAAAACTTTCTTCTTATGTAATTTGATGCATTTGAAGGAATACGTGTAATGGATATGTAAATTATCTAGCATAAATAAACCCGTGAGCTCACCACTGAATGTGAGCAGCAGAACATAACCAGCGTGCGCTCTTCCCCGACCCCTGCCTCTGCACCCGATGTACCTCCATCCTGAGAATCACCTCTTCTCCTCCTTTCTAAGTGTGGTTTGCCACATGTGCATGTACTCCTAAATAGTATGTCGTTGCGTTTTGAACTTTATGAAAATAATATTACAGTATATGTGTTGTTTCTGAGATGTGACTCTGTCGTCGGTTGTATCTGATAGTTTGAGCATCTTCATTGTTATCGAATAGTCCATTCAGTGACTGTCCACACTTTATTCTTTCTCTTGTCAGGGCATCTAGGGGTTGTTTTTAATTTTGCTTTTTAAATAACATTGGCAGGAACATTCTGGCACATACACTAGGATGAATGTTTAAGCCTTAATCCAAGCCACGGAGCCAGTGCAGGCCCGTATCTGGAGGAGCGGGGAATGTTGGGAACAGTGGGGGCATATACCTTTTTCCTAAGTGTCACGTGAGCTGCGAGGCATAATGGTGTGGCACCCAGACGAGTGCACGAGGAGGTCCAGAAATGGCTCCTGTTAAATGGCCTTGGTTCTATGATAGCATGTTCCACTGTTATAAATCTCTTCTGCTTTTGGTGTGTGAAGATGGGGTGGGGGGGTTGAAAATGGCATAAAGTCTTTGAACTCCAGGCAGTCCATGGACAGAGGCAGGCTTTGGTGATCCTGTTTTGGTTTCCTCCTTCACCAAGTGGTCACTGCCAAGGGGCAGCCGAGTGCTGTCATTGTTCAGTGACCTGTAATTGGTTGTCTCAGTCCATCATTGGCAGTTTCCTCACAATGTAAAAGGGGGAAAGAGAAAAAGGGGGCTACTGAATTGGCACTTTTTGAAGCTTCTATTTTAGGCAATTGAGGTCAGTTTGACTCGTCTATAGCCAAATCAGCTTTTCGTTGTTGGCCTGGAAGCACCAAGGCTTCAGGGCCCATCAGAAACTGAGGAGCAGTCACCTTCCAACTGGGGACAGTTTGACCTGGAAGCCCATGCTTGAATTCTCTTCAAATTGTGGACCCCCAAAGAGTGTGTAGCTTAGGAGATGAGATGGGGTGAGGGGAGGGAGAAAAGGGAAGACAAACAGGTGCTCAGTAAATATTTGCTGAATGAACGCAGGAATGGCAGAAATGAAAGCTGCTCTGACTTGCCTGTGTATCAGTCTGTCCCTGTCGGCTGCAATGGGGGTCTGCTCTTTGGCTACCCACGGAGAAGGAATAAGGCATTTGTAAGTAGTTTGATTCTGGACAGTTATTGGCTTAACTTCTTCTGGTATCTTTGTGAGCCTTCTGTAGTCTAAACACTCCAAATCCTAGCTAATGTGAAACTTTCTGCCTCTTACATAATTACCTTTAAATACATTGTGGCTCTCTCTGCTCTGTTTGGGGGCTGTTTTGGTGTTGTATAAGTTAATAACTCATGATATAATAAATCCTGTTTCTGTTCTTTGAAGAGATGAGCTCAGTCGTCTAAAAATAAATCTAGCTATGTTGATATTTAGTTTCAGTTCATCTTACCGCCTAACATCCCATTATTAATTTT